GGCCGGACCCAGAGCCACAGGCCTGCATCAGAGCTTCAAGGATGCTAGGAAATTAAGTTCTGACTTCCAGGTTGGAGGGCTGACACTCGTGACCTGGAAATGCCCCCAAATATAGAGAAAAGTATTCAAAAGATGGTAGATGCCCATTCCACGACAAAACAGATCCTTTTAAGAGCAGCATCTATGTGACGAGGCTGCCTGGCTCAATGTCAGGTGTGAATGAGGTTCTTGTTGAATGAATCACACCAGGGAATTTATATTTTAATTTGAGGCTATGTTGTGACTGTTACTTATAACAAGTTCCGACTTGTTTCTCGATATCAAAATTGCTATAAGCATGTACTCTTGAAATAAACAGGCTAGTTAATGGTCTGTTTTATAAAAAGGGCTAAATCCAATGCATACATTTGAGGGTTCTGGAAAGTGCTTTGCTTTTTGCCAGGTAAAATTTAAGGTAAGAATTCATACTAGTGAGAGATGGTTATATTTTGTCCCAAAGAGAGGTTTCCTTGATTTTGTGTAATCTTGCTTTGCAGAGTGTAGACAAGAGTGTACACAGTTCCTGAGGGGTTGCAAAGAGAAAAATAAAACGTCAGATCCTGGACTCACAGGCCACCTGGTGAAGAAGGGAAGGCTTGCTCAGGCAATGAGTCCATGTGCTCACTGTGTGAGGCACTGGAGCCAGATCTAACACACATACACACACACACACACACACACAGTGAATGGAAATACACTATAGACTCTTGTACGGTGTTGCTGAATGAATTTATCAACAACTATATTGCTTTATATGATACTGTGTTAATCTTTAATTACACATTCATTCACACATTTATTTATTCATTGGTATCTGTCCATTCCTTACTTTCCCTGTTGGTGCTGTGATTATAGAGATGAAGAAACGGGCATGGTCGACTCCCCTTGGTGCTCCCACTATAACAGGAGGGACATATTTCAAAAGAAAATGTGCTAGAGAGGCTTATAACGGGGCGGGGAGGGGGGAGTGCTGCTCTTTCTGGGTGGTGGATGTGTTCAAGGAAGATTTCTTGATAGAGGGACAAGGAGGCTGAGTTTTGAGGATAGGCAGAATTTAGCCAGGTGAAAAACAGGAGAAGGGCATCTTGAATAGCAAGATTGGCAGGTGCAAAGGCCCTGAGGCAGAAGGGAGCATGTATCATTCACAAATTGACACCTAGAAGATGGAGCATATTGAGGGGAAAGATGGTATGAAATAATATCAGAGATGGAGGCAAGGCCTTGGTAAGAAATCTAAATTATACCCTAAGTGCAATGGGAAGACAGAGAATTTCAAAGAGGGTCATGACAAAACCATTTACAAAATTGTTGAGCCATATACAAACTCTCACACTACTTTACATTACCCATCTCAGTAAGATATTCAAAAGAAGTACAAGAGAGAGAAGGTTAAGGCATATACAGTGGTAGCTTAGAAAAGTACCAAATTGTGCAGCAAGTGCAGAATTTAAAGATGGAACAGGTTAATGAGAACCAAGGAAGTCTTTAGAGGACAGATTAAATCTTGAGTTAGATTTAAAGGGTCCACTGGAGGTCAAGAGTTATTCATGAAGGGACATAGAGGAAAGTCTGGTGATCATGGCGCAAGTATGGGAAGGAGGTGACAAGGGGAGAAAGTAATCAGCTTGGGGATGAAATTTTTCAGTAAGAGATAGAGTTCCTAATTTGTATCAGCTTTTGACTTCAGTAAACCTAGGGAATTTTTTTCTGATTTCATTTAGGAGAAAAATTTGGTGGTAAGAACATTCCATAATATATGCATATGGGGAGGTTTACTGGAGGTCACAAATGAGTGGGTGCCCTGTGCTTTCCATCTGTCTGACATATGTGAAGTTTTGAGGGAAGCTTTCAACAACAAGAGATTTCACATTTTTAAAAATTCCACATTTCTGGCTTTTTGTAAAAAGGGGAACTAAGGACTGCGTCTCTATTCCCTCCTAGCCACAGATGGTTGGAGGCGAGGAGCTGTGTAAGCAGGCCAGTTGGTTGGCCAGTTTCATCTCTTGCCCTTCTCCTTCTCTTTCCTGTCCAAACCTTTTCTTCTGTTTCTTTAAATATACCATGATTTAACGACCTTTATTCCATATTGAAGGTTCTCTTCACTCCCCCCCCTCCCACCCCTACCACTCTGGGAGGGTGGGGGGTCAAGCAGATGAGGTGCCCAGAGGAGGACATGTAAGGAAGGCACTCAGGTGCAGCACTTGGTCCTGCTCCCTTTTGGTCTGTTACCTTCCCCTTTGGATCAAATCTCAGCTGAAACAATTTCTCAACAGCCATCCCAGAGTAGAGATTTAATTTACTTAAGATCTGCTCCAACCGCAAGTTGAGACTGGTTTTCACTTTAAGTCAGAGATTTTTAAATGCCCCTTTAAGATATATTTATTCTAAATTTTAAAAGTAGATTATATTTTAGAAAATTAAGAAAATAATAGTCCTGTATGTATTTTGGTAAAATAGTATCCGCACTGCCTTGAATGGCTGCGCTAACACGACCCTTGGGCGCCTCCTGCAGGCCCGGAACAAATTACTACGTGATAGTAAGGTTGGCTTCTTACTCCTCATGGCCAACGTGAAAAGTGTAATTCCATCAAGGTTTCCTGTTTAAGTCTCAGAACCAGAAGCCTGAGGCAGGTGGCGCGGATTTTGCAGGGCACACGGGCACGTACTGCTATGAAATCCCATCCTTGCTTTGTGACAGAATCTTAAACCAGGACATGTCTGGACAATTTTGAAGCTTACATGTCAATCCAAATAGATGGGGGTAGGCGGGGTTCCCCCCTCCCCCCCCGCCTCAATTTTCCGGTCAACATACTTACCACTTCTTTCCTTGTGTCTTCCTCATGAAGTTTTCATACTAGTGGTTACCCAGTCTTTTATTATTATTATTTTAAGTGTTCTTTCTCATAGCTATTAATAACACCGTATCATGAATCCAGTCAATGGATGGCCAGTTTTCAACTTGGTATAAGGGAATGTGTTCAGTCACCCTTAGTGGGGATAGTATTCTCGAGTGGTGGCTGGTGATTTTCCTTCCTGACCTGCAGTCTCCAGTTGTCTGCATCGGCACCACAGACTTCTTTCTTTTATTGGTCCAGACAGATAGGGAAAGAACCAGAAGCGAGGTTGGAACCAGAAGCGAGGCTGGAAATGCTCAAATTTAAGGAAAGGAGAGGATGCTTAATGGAAGACACAGAAGGCCCCATTTGTACTTAGAGAACTGGTTCTGTGTTGGGAAAGAGATCAGCTCAAAGGATGCCACGGCTGGGGCAGGGGTGATAGAGATGGTGAGATACAGAGTCAGAAGAGCCAGTAAGCATGGTTGCCAGCAGTCAGCCCCCTGTCCGTCCATCTGTCCGGATCAATCAACACTCTCCCAGGCCATGAGACTCTGTCTTGGTGAACAGCCCCACCACCCAGAGCCCCTGGTACAAAACACTGTTGGATGCTGGCCCAACAGTGCTTCCATCCTTCTTCCTCTTCCTTGTTTTCAGAAGCCCATGCCGCTTTCCAATGATTTCGTATAATTTAAAATGTTACTTTTTAATAATACATAATAATACAATATTATTATGGAATGGGTTTATTTATTAAATGAATTAATTAATGTTTAAAAAATTCTGTTTAATTTTTTTTTTTTTTTAAGATTTTATTTATTTGACAGAAAGAGACACAGCGAGAGAGGGAACACAAGCAGGGGGAGGGGGAGAGGCAGAAGCAGGCTTCCCGCCGAGCAGGGAGCCCGATGCGGGGCTCGATCCCAGGACCCCGGGATCATGACCTGAGCTGAAGGCAGATGCCCAACGACTGAGCCACCCAGGCGCCCTCTGTTTAATTTCTTAAATGGTAAATATCGATGAATATAACCTATGTAAACAGAAGATCTTTGGGGTGTTCAATAAGTGTTAAGAGTATAAAGGAACCCCCCACACACAAGGAAAAAGAAAAGAAATAGGGAGGCACACGTGTCAGGCTATACGGTAATTACGCGTTAACACTGTTGAATCAATTAAGAGTACTTCCTCCCTCATACCATGCGAATTATCAGGGCACATACATCTCACATCCTAGAGCCAAGGTCATCTGTTTTTAGCTCTCTTTAACAAAGTATGCCGATTGTTCCTTACGAGTTTGCGGAACTGATGAAAGGCACTGCCCTTCCGTCCAGTCGGGGCCCCGCCCCGGCCCCGCTGCGCTGCGCTGCGCGGGGCGCCCCCTGCTGCCCGGCGCGGGACCCCGGGGCGGTTCGCCACACCCCCCACTTTCTGTCGGCCCACAGGGCGTTGCCTGCGCCTTTAATTGGCACGTACCAAGTCCTTCCAGGATGTGTTTCCTCCCGGAGCCCCGCACGTTGGGAGTCACGGGTCGAGGATGCAGCAGGAAGGAATATGGAGGCGGTGCTGTATTTGCGGGGAGGTCCGGGCCCCCGGGGAGCGAGAGACGGCCCGGGCCCGGGGCGCGCCCTGGCGGCCCTCCTCGCCGCGCGCCGTAGTCCAGTCCCAAGATGGCGGCCACCATGAAGAAGGCGGTGAGTGGGGCGCTCCGGGTGCGGGATGCTCGGGCCGCGGGCGGGGGTCGGCCGCCGGGGGCCGGGCGCGGGCCGCCTGGGGTGCGCGGCCCCGAAGCCCGGCGTGCGGCCGGGGCCGAGGCCGCCGGCCCTGCGGGCGGCCCCGCGGCGAGGCCTCCCCGCGCCCGGCTTCCGGGAGGTCTTCTCGGGCCCCCGGGCCGCCGAGGCGGGGCAGCCGGGCCGGGACCCTCGGGGCCCGCGGGTCGCCTGTCGCGGTGCCGAGAACGGCCGTGGAGAGCCTGAGGACCCGCGGCGCAGGCCGTGGCGTTGGCCGTGTGAGAAGCCGAAGGCCCCGGGGGCTGCCGTTGGCCATCGCGCTGGGCATTTTACCTGGGTTGTCACGTTCGGCCCTCGCAAGTCCACAGACATGGGTCCTGCAGCCTCTGTCCTGGGCACGTAAGGAAGCGGAGGCCCGGAGAGGTGCAGTCACCTGCCCAAGGTCACGCAGCTTCAAGGAGCCGAGCAGGACCGTGCATCCCGGGTGGCGCGGCCCCGGAGCGCTGTGTCAGCCCTGAGCCGCCCACGCCCGCCCTCGATGTGTCGAGGATGCATGACGGGCCCGCGCCAAGAAGCCGTCTGCTGATTATCTCTGACCCTGCCCGCAGCTTAGCGAAGACGCGGCTTGCTCCCACTTTACAGATGGAGAAACTTAACAGAGCGGTTGGTGGCCTCGAAACAACTCGGCTAAGGGCGCCTGGGTGGCTCGGTCGGTTGGGCGACTGCCTTCGGCTCGGGTCGTGATCCTGGAGTCCCGGGATCGAGTCCCGCGTCGGGCTCCCTGCTCGGCGGGGGGTCTGCTTCTCCCTCTGACCCTCCTCCCTCTCATGCTCTCTGTCTCTCATTCGCTCTCTCGCAAATAAATAAAAATCTTAAAAAAAAAAAAAAATTAAAAAAAAAAAACTCAGCTAATAGGCAGACCTGGAGTTCAAACTCGGGTTTTATTTTGTTTTTCCCAAAGCCCACCTTTTATTCTACTTAGCAAGCTGAACTCCTGCTGTTTACAGCGTATGAGTCACTGCGTCTACGCAGGTGCTTAGAAATATCTAGATGGAAGAAAAATAAAATGGGGAGGGGGCAAAGAAATAATAACATCTGGGCGCCTGGGTGGCTCAGTTGGTTAAGCGACTGCCTTCGGCTCAGGTCATGATCCTGGAGTCCCGGGATCGAGTCCCACATCGGGCTCCCTGCAGGGAGCCTGCTTCTCCCTCTGACCCTCCTCCCTCTCATGCTCTCTGTCTGTCAGTCTCTCTCTCAAATAAATAAATAAAATCTTTAAAAAAAAAAAAAAAGAAATAATAACATCTGATAATTATGGAGGCCTTCCTTTTCATTGTGTGCTAGGCCTAAGCGAGTTGTGTGCATTATTTTAATCCTACCCCCGATACTGCTTTTATTCTTATTTTACAGACGAGGCAGTTGAAGTGCACACAAAGTTAGGATTAAAGTGAGCACAATTCTGACTCTAGAGCCTCTGATTTTAACTTCCATCCTGTCTGATGGAAGTCCCCTGGCTGCAGGGATTTGCTTGCATTCAGCTTCAAATTCCTTGGCTCTCATACTCAGCAATATGCATAGTCTGAGCATATTGCAGGGTGTAAAAACCAGGACTGCCCCAGGCAAACCAGGATGATTTGCTCACTCTATTGGTCTATCATCCACAGATTCTTACTGAGTACCAGGGTAGGGTTCAGGGTTAAGGTGATTCAGATGAGTAGGAAACTTTGTGAGATTCACCCCACCTCTATTTTGTACTTAAATTGGGCCCTTTGACGGGGCGCCTGGGTGGCTCAGTCCTTAAGGGTCTGCTTTGGGCTCTGGTCATGATCCCAGGGTCCTGGGATTGAGCCCCTCATCGGGCTCCCTGCTCCACAGGAAGCCTGCTTCTTCCTCTCCCGCTCCCCCTGCTTGTGTTCCTTCTCTCTCTGTGTCTCTCTCTGTCAAATAAAGAAGTAAAATCTTTAAAAATAAATAAATAGGGCCCTTTGTTGGGTACGGTGTTTAATTCCATAGATGGTACTAGTTGCATATCCCCCCCCCCAACTCCCCTTGCCCTCTTTGACAAATATGCAAACCGAAGTGCAGAGAGATGAAGTAAAGGTCGAGGGAATGGTAAGAAAACGATTTGAACCTTGGACTTGTCAAGACTTTTGATTACCAACATATTTTCATTCATTCGGCAAACTTTTTGAGCATGTAATATGGCACAATTTCAGTTTTAGGTGAAAAGCAGTGATGAGCAATAATAATGCTTATATCCCCTTATCCTCATAGCATTGTAGGACTTACGTTCTGGGGGAGAGCAGGCATTACTCATACAGGCAATAGTCACACAGAAAACTGTAGAATTTCCAGCTCTGCTAAGAACTATGACAGAAAGGACTTGTGACATGAGGGCTGGAGTAAGGTCTGTTGGTGACTAGAGAAGGCTTTCGTGAGAAGGTGTGATCTATACAATGACATAAGGAGGGGAAGAGAATGTTGGAAAGGGATGAGGTGTTCTAGAGGGGGAGGATCACCTGCAGAGACGCTAGGTACATTTAAGGAAAGGGTGGCTAGAATGACAGAGGATCGGGGGAGGTTGAGCCAAGATAGGAAATGAACATATTGACGGATGGGTGGTGGCCAGAGCATGAAGGATTTTCTTCTTTGTCTTGTAAGACTGATGTGATAGATGCACCAGCCTCCTGCAGGTGTTTTCCAGTGCTGTGAACAATTTCTGATAGGTTAACTGTACATACACTCTGGCTCTCTGCCTGCCCTGGGAGCAAATGGGTATGTCAGTGAATAAGCATGAAATATCATAGGGATAGCCTCTTGAGTTTAATAAAAACTGTTTGCAATTTGGAGTACTTTACATTTGTAACACGTTTACATCCCAGTGGGTCATGGCTTTTCTGGTGAGATGATTAGGTGAGGTGGTTTAGTCCTCTCCTCTCCAAAGGTCTGCTTTCCAAGATCTGGTTTTTGGCCATCAGAGGACTGTGTTTGATTTCTGTTCCTGATCCTCAGTACAAATATCCCCTCCCCAGAGAGGCCATCTTTGACCTCCCTATCTAAGGAAGCCCCCTTCACTCCTTAGCCCCTAACACTTGCAACCCCTACACTGTTTTGCATTCCCCATCACGTATATCATCATCATCTAGCATCATCTTGTTCATCTTGTCTTTTGCTCACCTCCTCTAGAATGTAAGCTTGCAGGTATTCATGAGGGTTGGACTATGGCAGTTTTCTGGCATGTGGGAGACATTTACCAAGTAGTTGTAAAATGAATGACTGTACTGTAGGCGTGAAAAGTGAATAAAAATACAAAGCAAAATTTTATATCATGGAGACTTGGCAGACACCTTTAAAAAACAAAAATAAAGGCAGACTGAAATTGGCCAGAATTTACTTCTCCTAGGCTCTTAGGACACTGATGGACCCAGCTGTCAGTCCACATTCTGCTGGTAATAGCCAAGATTCAGTGGGGCAAGACTGAGTGTGGTTCACTTTCCTCTCATAATCCTGTAAGATGCTGAGTTTGAAGAAAAGGGTCCAGTCAGGGTCTAGGGAATTTTAATTTCCACTTTAAATATTGAGCAGTCATATTTCTCCCCAGCCTAGCAGAATTTTCTTCTAGATCTTTGTCTGTTCTTCCTCTCTAATGATTTTTTGGGTAAGGATTGTTCAGGAAATAAAGCACCTAGCTATCATTATTGAAAGGTGACTCCATCCACAGGTCCTCATTTTATCACCCCTGCAAGGTAGGAGGAACCAGCATCCCCATTTTACAGGTAACAAACCTGAGGTGGCTACAAAGTTGAATAATTTGTCCCAAGTTCCTCCTTGCTTGGATTTGAATCCATTCACTATTTCAGCCACTCTGTGTTGTCTCAAAGAACCAACTCCTTTCTCTTTGAGTTCTCGTGACTTTGTGAGCGGCAGTGAGTACAACTGCCTTGGCTTCTCTTAACGCAGGAGTCCCTAACCTTTGGGGGTGTGGATCCCTTTGAGAATCTGAGGAAAACTGTGAAGACCCTTCCAGAGGAATGCACTTACAGGACATGCCATGCTGCACACAATTTCAGGGGGTAAAGGGACTTCTTAGTGTCTCTGGATCCCCAGTTAAGAATTAGCCCCTCCCCGCCAAAATGAAGCTTCGCGCAATGTAGGAATGTTCCAGAACAGTGGGATGAAAAGAAGCCACTGGCGTTAGTCATGGAAGGTGCTGACTTCTCACTTTTTGCTGTAAACAGAATGCCACCCAGAACTCCACTGGGTGGCATGCAGTTTAACCACGGACTTCACACGCCGACTGTAGCCCGTAACCCCAGTGAGAAAACCACGGTTAAGGAAACGGAGTACATGGTCCCAAGTACATGCTGGGGCGCTGCGCAGTGAGGCTAGGACAGGAAATGCCTACTTTGGAAAGATAGAAACAGGTGGCCAAATTCCTCCACGACTTTTCAGAAAACGTGTGTATGAGTCTGATCAAGCGGGATTTAGATTCAAATTCGGAAACAATATATTAGCCTCAGTTGTGTGTTAGGCCGGTCCCGTGGTAGTTGCTTTCATGGGAATTACCCTGTTCAAGCCTCACGATGACAAATGCGTCTATAAATACATATTCAGGTTTGCGGGGCCTCAGTATTTAAACTCTGCAGGCAAGCAGGAACTCTCTAGAATTCTCCGTTCCCTGTTTGCTTCAGGAATTGCTAGCTCTTATGTAGGCAAAGTCACTTGAATGCCAGGGTATCTGAATATGGACTTTCCTTTGGTTTTTATAGTGCAGCTCAGTGTTTCCCAACTTCCATAGTCATAAAAATCATGCCCAAGGTTGAACATTCAAAGCTATATATATCGTGATCTAAAGGATTTTTTCAGGATATCCTCTGGGTCTCTGATGCTGAGCCTGATGCATATCAAAGTGCTTGTTGTGTGTTGAGAGCTCCGGGGCAATGGGGGGGGGGGCGGTGTGCTGAGTTCTAGGTGTCTGCCTTGGTGTTCTGTCCACTGAGCTCCAATCTTGCTTGACACAACAGGTTGCCTTTCAACCTCCGGAGAAATAAAAGTGTATACTTCTATGTGACTGGTCATGAGAGACCAGGCGAAGGGATGAGGCGTGGTTGTTGTGAATCATTACAAAAGAGCAAAAATAGTCTTTGTTGAAGCTCGCTCTCTCTTTCCTCCCTTACAAGTGCTGTTGTTCTTATTTTATAAAGGAGGGGAAACTCTAAGGAGAATCTGGTATTTAATTTTTTTTTTTTTTTTTAATATATGGTTCCCCTTTGAGAATCTGATGAAAGCCAAGGACTTCCTGCTGCCTTTTACAAATGTGCATGATTGCTTGCCCACATTCATTTTCACCTTCAGTTTCTAAGAGCTAGTGGACCTGCCTGGACTCCGGAGTCAGCTTACCTGGGTTGAAATCGAATTCTACCTCTTACTGGCTGTGTGACTTCGGGGAAATTACTTACCCTCTCTGTGCCACACTTTCTTCATCTGTAAAATAGTTCTACTTCCTAATGATCCTACTTACTAAGATTTATTAGAGGATTAACAGTGATGATAAAGCACTTAGAAAGTTCTTGATACATAGTAAGAGCTCAATGAATGTTATTTTATGATTTTATAGATACTATATGTCATCTAAGTACTCTAATTTTATTTACAAATTTAATCACGGTAAATATTTTTAAACATTCGATTTTACTCGTTTTATAGTACGTTATACCTTATTCTTAATGAAGACATGTAAACAGGTTCTGCATTAAAAGAAACATAATTTTTACCATGTGTGAAATACAGTCACTGACGTATGTAGTAACCTTCTAGCCAGTATATCATTTGCATTAAACATTAGAAACTGTCAGATTTCTGACAGCTTTAATAAGCTTATGCAGGTTTTAACTCTGAGAGCAGAAACTGGTATGAAGCATTTACCAGAACTCAGTACCACATCATTTGCTCCCTGAGTTATCTGGATGAAAGAATGTTCTAACTCGAGAAATTCTGCTCTAGGCCAAAGTTGGCTGACTTGACTCAGGACTTATTCTTAATTGTTTATATTTGAAATGTTTTTGTAGCTTACGCTTTATTCTGTGGACTGTCAGAAGAGATGATAGATGTATGAACAAATCTTGAGGTTGTGGAGCAAAAACTTATAAGGCCTATGTTTGTGATTTTCTGTACCTTTGGGGATTCTTGACTGTATGAGAGCAAATAGTTTATTGAATTATTTCAGAGTTATATAAAAAGCTAACCTATAACTTCTCCAGGAAAATTAATTCTACAAAAAATTTAAAATGTTTTTTCAGGCTGCAGAAGATGTCAACGTTACTTTTGAAGATCAACAAAAGATAAACAAATTTGCACGGAATACAAGTAGAATTACAGAGCTGAAGGAGGAAATAGAAGTAAAAAAGGTACTAAAGAAATGTATCTTATTTAAGAAAAATGAAAGGTCTTTACACTATAGCTTTTTTTTGAGAGAGAGAGAGATCGCGTGCAAGGGGGGTATTGGGGGGGGGCAGAGAGAGAGAGAGAGAGAATCCTAAGAGCCTGATGTGGGTTTTGATCCCACAACCCCAAGATCATGACCTGAGCTGAAATCAAGAGTCAGACGCTTAATCAACTGAGCCACCCAGGCGTCCCTACACTGTAGCTTTTTAAAACTGAATTCAGTGATTCTCTTTCTCTGGGCTCTTTGTTGCAGATGATGTAATCCACTCTAGTTGGTGTAAGAAAAAAGACCTTGTTGAAGGGCTGTGTGAGAATTTACAGATTGTTGAGGGGGTGAGCCTGGGCGGGGGTTCCGGGAGCAGGCCGCAGAACCGCGTCTCAGAGACCGTGGCTGGCGATGGAACTGCTGCTGTTTGCAGTGACCCCGAGCCCGCCGCCGCCTCCAGCTGGGTCCACCCCAGCCCCTGCCCGCCCCGCACGTCAGGCCTGTGCCCATCCTCTCCTCATGTGACCCTCTGAGCCGAGGTCCAGTCCCAGTGCAGTTGACTGTGGAATGTCAGTCGTAGCTGCTTTCCTCCTCTCATCAGGCAAGGCTGAGCAATGGCGGTTTGCTCTGTTTCTGTTCTACCATAGGAAGGCAGAATGCACCAAGCGGAACCTGTTAGGGTAGGAGGACATTTTGAGTGGGCACAGATGCCCGCTGTCCTCTGCAGGCACTCGGAGCAATCTGGAAGTAGCTAGAGGACAGTGACTTAGCTGTTGAGGGTTCCTTAGGAAATGCCATCTAGAAATGTAAGGAAGTCTTAGGTTGTGTGGTGATACCTTTGCGAAAGGGTCTTTCACAGAGTTGGTGTCCCCAAATTAAAATTGGCTACTCACCCCTATCAGCAGATTTTGAGTGTGCTTTTCATTGCCGTTTGCTTTTGTGTTTCTAGAAACAACTCCAGAATTTAGAAGATGCTTGTGAGGACATCATGCTTGCAGATGATGATTGCTTAATGATACCTTATCAAATTGGTGATGTTTTCATTAGCCATTCTCAAGAAGAAACACAGGAAATGTTAGAAGAAGCAAAGGTATGCTGGAGTCTTTCCCTGGGTGAGGGAGGCTAACGCTCCCATTAGAGTGTGTGTTACAAAGGACACGCTAATTCCAGGTGTAGGGAAATAACGGGTGCTAGGTAATAATACTCCATGGGTTTTTACAACGTCCCAGGCATGCGGTGAAAGCCTTGCAGGCATGATCGTATTTAATTCTGACAAGGGCTCTGTGAGATAGGGCCCATTCATCCCAATTTAGAATTGAAGGGATTGAAGGGTAGAGGCTGAGAAAGGTCATGGGGCTTACTCAGGGTGACACAGAGGGAGTGGCCTTTTGACTCCAGAACCCATGCTCTAACTGTGTGGGAACTGTAGAGTATCATAAGGTAGAAAAGGAAAATTGCCTGTAATCCCACTACCGAGAGGTAACTATCCATCATGAACATTCTCATTGCTTCTTTTATGTTTTTACCTTCTCTTTTCTCTGTAGGTTTGCTTCACATTTTGGTCAATTAACCTCCCACCAGAAGTACTTTCTCATTCTATTTAATGTTCATTTGCCCAGCAAATCTTCATCAGGGGCCTGCTCTGGGCCAAGCACACATGCTTTAAAAACATCATTTTTGGGGCGCCTGGGTGGCTCAGTTGGTTAAGCAACTGCCTTCGGCTCAGGTCATGATCCTGGAGTCCCGGGATCGAGTCCCTCATCAGCCTCCCTGCTCGGCGGGGAGTCTGCTTCTCCCTCTGACCCTCCTCCCTCTCATGCTCTCTGTCTCTCATTCTCTCTCAAATAAATAAATAAAATCTTAAAAACAAAAACAAAAACATCATTTTTGACGACTGTTAAACGTCATGCTAGTGGACACCAATTCCGTTCATTGCCCTCCTGTTGTTAACATGAATTTGTTTCCAGTATTTTCCTACAGTAATGTTGCAGTGAGCATTCTTACACACCTGAGTGTTTTTCACATTTAGGAAATTCTTTTTTTAAAAAATTTTTTATTGTTATGTTAATCACTGTACATTACATCATTAGTGTTTTTTTTTAAATTTTTTTATTCTTATATTATCCCCATATATTGCATCATTAGTTTTAGATGTAGTGTTCCATGATTCATTGTTTGTGCATAACACCCAGTGCTCCATGCAGAACGCGCCCTCCCCAATACCCATCACCAGGCTAACCCATCCTCCCACCCCTCTCCCCTCTAGAACCCTCAGTTTGTTTCTCAGAGTCCGTCGTCTCTCATGGTTCGTCTAGGAAATTCTTTTAGGGAAATAACCAGGCAGGTGTCATTACTAGCATCTGAGGCATTTGAGACATGATATAAAAGGAGTTTCCAGTTCACACGCCCTCCAGCTGTCTGTGAAAGGAGCGATCACGTTGTGCCTGAGATTGTTGATGGCAATCAAACATTTTCTAATTCTTTTGCAGTTTGCTTAATTAATCTGGATATTACTTAAAATGTTAGTCTTCCTTCTTCAAATGTCGTAGAAAGCAAAAATTTCTCTGAATTAAACCCATATTTAATAAACCCTAGGAAGAACTAAGATTTTTACTCCTGAATCTTTTTATGCAGAAACATTGGTGTTTCCGCTTGTGTTTAAATCTTTTCTTTCACAGTAAAATTTTGTAATTTTGTTCTTTTTTAACCATCCTAACCATCTAGTGGGAAGTATTTCAAGATAGTTGGTGGTTTTTGTCACTACTATGAACATGCCACCCTCCCCGTCCCACCCCCCCACAGCTAGTGAACCTTTATTATGTTATTCATTTATTCATTCATTCATTCCAGGAATATTTGTTGAGTGCTTACTCTGTATTAGCGTCTGCCATGAACCAGTGCACAGAGAGGACAATGAAATATGCCTGGTTCCCGCTTGCAGGGAGTAGACAGTGTAAATGGAAAGAGAAAGTCCAGCAAGCATAACTAGTAAGTGGAAGGTGGTGTGGGCCTAGAGGTGCTGTAGGAACATAGAGTAGAGGAGTGCGCATGGTCAGGAGGGGCTCCCTGGGAAGGAGATGGCTCAGCAGGAAGTGGGTATTCCCCAGAATGGGGGGCAGGATGTTCCAGACTCATGTGTGATGGTCGTGTGTAAATGGTCATAAAAAGATCATGGCACAGAAACACAACTAAGAGAAGTTCTAATTTGCTGGATATTTGGGAGCATCTGAAATTGTGGCCACAGCTTGAAGAACTCTGTCAATCGAGTTGATAAATGGACTTGACTTTCGCAGGGGTCAGCAAGCGTTCTGTGCCGGGCCAGACGGCAGATATCTCAGGCTTTGTGAGCCACCCGGGCTAGGTCACAATTGCCATGAAAGCAGAACGTGTAAATGCATGCCCGTGGCCGCATTCCAGGAAAACTGCATGGACAAGCATCAGGCTAAGTCTGGCCTGTGGGCTGCAGTCTTCACTCACCCGGCCGTAAGGCGAAGAGGAGCCTTTCAGGGGTTTTTAAGAAATGAGTGATACATGATAGGATTGTGCTTTTATTTTTTATTATTTATTTTTTAAAAGATTTTATTTATTTATTTGACAGAGAGACAGCGAGAGAGGGAACACAAGCAGGGGGAGTGGGAGAGGGAGAAGCAGGCTCCCCGCGGAGCAGGGAGCCCAATGCGGGGCTTGATCCCAGGACCCTGGGACCATGACCTGAACCGAAGGCAGACGCTTAATGACTGAACCACCCAGGCATCCCAGGATTGTGCTTTTAAAATAATTTTCTTGCATGTTATAATTTCACTCATCAACTAGGTTTTCTGGGTAGAGAAGTTTTATCTCCTTTCTAATAGCTGTACGTCTTATTTCTGTTTCTTATAGCCGTGATTCTCAAACCTTTAGCATGTATCAGAGTGCCCCAGAGGGCTTGTTGAAAATTCCAATCACTGACATCCCAAGAATTTGCAAATCAGGAGGCCTGGAGCGCAGCCCCAGAATTTGTGTTTCTAACGAGTTTCCAAGCGATCTGGGGGCTATACTTGGAGATTCATCAGCCAGATTTCTAAAAGAATAACATTGTCAATACTAGCATTCTTCCCTTCTTCCTAGTATTAATGGGTATGCCATTTGTGTGACTTCATATTTTTTTGGTCATGTTTAGGAGAAATCCTTTTTTCTTGTTTTTGTTTTTTTTTAAGACTTTATTTGTGAGAGAGAGAGCACAAACAGGGAGAGCATCAGGCAGAGGGAGAAGCAGGCTCCCTATTGAGCAGGGAGCCCAATGTGGGACTTGATCCCAGGACCCTGGGACCATGACCTGAGCCGAAGGCAGATGCTTAACTGATTGAGGCACCCAGGCGCCCCGAGAAATCCTTTTTTTGATCCTGGCCAGGAAGGAACTTCTGACATCCCATGCGTTTCACGTGGGCAGTGCTGCTCTGTGTCATAAACGAGGCCCTCGTTAGCGCTCTCTCACAGTAGCTCCAGGGGCCTCGCAGTTGGTAAAAATTTCTCCCAGATTCTGACTGTAAGTTGTTACTCTTAATTAGTGTTGGTCGTGTGAATTTTTATCCTTTCTTCTAGTTTCATAGTTATTTTTGTGGGAAGTTGGAAGAGGCTGTGTTAGAAGCCAGGCCTGTGATAAACTGTTTACCAGAAGTGTTCGTATAAAAGTACTTTCTTTATTAAGAGTGTGATAATTTAGGAATTAATTTTCTTTTATCCATTTTGTTTTTTAAATCAGCAAAAACCGAGAAGACAGGCTTGATTTATTCTATAATAAGCAAATATAAATCCTGAATTAAAAATGGCCACATTCAGACTTTTGGTTTAGATTTAATTATCCGTGTTATTTAGCTGCCTGTCCCAAGTTTAGAAAATTTGACCTAAAATTCTTCCCAAATATTATTTCATCCACAGATGCTCAGAAACCATCCATTGAATAGAATTAATTTAAATGATTTTTTTTTCCCCCAGAAAAATTTGCAAGAAGAAATCGACGCCTTAGAAGCCAGAGTGGAATCAATTCAGCGAGTGTTAGCAGATCTGAAAGTTCAGTTATATGCAAAATTCGGGAGCAACATAAACCTCGAAGCTGATGACAGTTAAACATTTTATAATACTTTTTTTTTAATTTGTTTAATAAACTTGAATATTGTTTAAAATGATAATTTCCCTTCTTCAAATGATATGGAAAGCAAAAGTTTCTTTTTTTAAAATTTTCATTTATTTAATGAAACTTGCCTATTTTCACATGTCTTGCTTATTTATTTTATATTTTTAAAAGAAGACAGTATTCATCTATGTATTTTGCATAACGATTCTATCAAGTGTAGGGGCTTTATGTCATGTTATTAAAATCGGTTAAGCAACCTTTTACGTTTCTATATTATCATTTAGAATATGTGTTGCAGTTTTTATTTATAAGAAAATTGAATGGTTGGGTCATGTTGTTTATATATGTCTCTTCAAGGTGGTGAAAGCACTTTAGAAAGATCCCATCGTGTGTCAGTCTACTCACTGCCACCAAAACTTTGTCAGATGCTAAAAACAAGTACACACTGCATTTAAATATATGTAATGCATGTTTTGTCTAGACGTATTTCATGTGTCTCTTATATCTGTATCAGTGTCCTAGATCTTGGTAAAAGAACCAGATAGTGCTGAGATATGTTGGGGCATGTTGAGTTTCATGTGTAGAGCAGAATGGCAGAAGAATATTTTAGAAACCAAGAAATGTATCAAGAGAAAGAAATATTTAGGGTGGTTTTTTTTATTATAAATTTTAAACTTTAATTGTAGAGCTTTGTAATTAATTTGGGTTTATACTGATAATGATGTGGAAGTTAAGCAGCTATGTACTTAAAGATAAAATAGTATATTTACCCCCTTACTATTCTCCCCACTCTGCCCCCCCCCCCCCAAGATACACATTTTGGGATTTGGAAAGACCTAATTTTCTTAACTTTCCAGCAGATGGCACTGATACACCAAAATACCAATGGAAGGGTCATAATACAAAAATGGGGCTATTTCTAGGATTAAGTATACCTAAGTTTAGAGGCAGTCGCTTTTTAACCTTCAAGGCTAAACATTGCATGTGTCATGTTTTGGTTAAATATTTAAAAGCGATTCCAACTTAAAGATAAAATATGTAACTCTAAGATTCTTTAAGACATAAAAGCAAACTTTTAAATTGCTGCGAAATGTTCCCCAAAACTGATAACCAGATTCTAGAAAATGATTCTTTTGAGGTTATTTTTTCTTGCATGCATTTGGTTAGTGCTCAGTTAGAGGGGTGAGATTAGAGGCATATATCATCAGGTTGTAGCGGGAGCTAGGTAGCACCCTCAAATTAGGGGAGTTTGAGAAAACTTTTGCCAAGAATCCAAAGGTGTGGGTAACCACTCGGAGGGCTGTGTACCATCAGAGGCCAGAGGACGGAGCAGCCACTTCCTTCACTCTGGAACTCAGGGAAAGGCTGCTTTCATTTGAAGTGGGACACAGCTAACCTGCAACATCCCTGCAGTGACAGAGCTGGGAGACTAGACAGCCAGCCTCATTCTCCCTCCAAAACCCAGCTGGTGCCCGCAATTGGCCAAACCCAACTGGAATCCAGAGGTAGTTTGTTGGAGTCGGTCTATCTCAGAGCTGGAGAGGGGTGGTAGATGGATGCATCTGGAAGGCCAATGGAAGATCCAGCACAGGAGGATGGCTATAGCTGAGTCATTTAGAAATTTTAATAAGGAAGGCTTATCTCCTTTATGTGCCAGAAGCTGAATTATGTACCTGACCGGGACTTAACATTTTGTGAGCACATGAGCAAGTAAACCTAATATAAGAAAACATCCAATGGTGTGGGTGAGGGGCAGGGGAGTTCATTATATATTGTTGCTAACTTTATACCTTGTTTTCTTTGTTTACCTGTGAAGCTCTAGGACGACAGGAATATTTGATTCCCACTTTAAATTCATTTCTAAAGTGTCCAAAAGCCTTATTTTTGTTAGTAGGGCTGGATGAAGATGTAAACAGCATGCCCTACATCTGAAGAGGCAGCTAACACTCAACTCTAGCCAGTAGTTGCCTCATAGAAGTTTGGTCTGGATTTGTCACCACTAACTTTTTGACAGGAATCCTGATTTTTTTAATTTAATATTTTATTTATTTAGAGTGAGAGATAGCAAGTGCGTGAGTGGGGAGTGGGGGCAGAGGGAGAGAGAGAGATCTCTAGCAGTTCTCTGTGCTGAGCATGGAGCTGGATGTGGGACTCGATCTCACGACCCTGAGATCATGACCTGAGCCAAAATCAAGAGTCAGACGCCTCACAGACTGAGCCATCCAGGTGCCCCAAGAATCCTGATTTTTTTTTTTTTTTAAGATTGATTTATTTATTTATTTGACAGAGAGCGAGAGATAGCAAGATTAGGAACACAAGCAGGGGGAGCGGGAGAGGAAGAAGCAGGCTTCCCGCTGAGCAGGGAGCCCGATGCGGAGCTCGATCCCAGGATCCCGGAACCATGACCTGAGCCGAAGGCAGACGCTTAACGACTGAGCCACCCAGTCGCCCCAAGAATCCTGATTTTTATAGACAATCAATCACTAATTTTAGACTGCATTTTTTTTTTAAATCAATGCAGTTTAAACAGAAGATACTCGTGTAACAATTTGACCATCAGGCAGCCAGTTTGCAAACTCATGTGCACCATATGCTACATCTTATCTAGGCTTTGGTAGGAAGTAGGCAGTAGGTTATTTGTACGGAGGGTCATAAGAGCTGGTGCTACTGACTTTAATTTTTAAATACCTCTCGAACCTGTCCATTTCTTCCCATCTCCCAACCACCACCAGGCTTGTCCAAATCTTACGAACTCTAGTCAACAGCAGGCTAACGGGGTCGGAGGGGAAGGGAATGCCATGGAGATAATTTGACAGCTGGAGGCCAGGGGGCGTCTCTAAAGGGCTTTGAAAAGAAAGGTGAGCTACATGACTAGAGCAGCATTTTAGAATAATTTGGCGGTTATCAGGCGGGTTTCATCACAAAGAGATGCAGGTAAGGATTCCAGATAATACTGCCCTCCCCCTGGTGCGCAGACTCAGTGGGCGGAGGACTATAAAGAAGGAAGCAGAAGCTGGAGAGCAGGCGGAGTGATGGGGAGAGACCAGGGAACGGGAGGGGGGCCGAAGTCAAGGAATTAGGTTCTGAGCCCAGGCCAAATACAGCCGATGGCAGGTTTGCTTTGGCTCCCGTAGTTTAAGAAAGTTGTTACAAATTGCTTGCCACAATCCAAGTAGGAGAGCTCACATAAAAAATCAGTTTGGCAACATCATGACTGCATTCCCAAAGGGCATCTTCAGCTGCTCCCCCTCGGACAAAGCAGGCTCTCTCTGATTCCGCCCGAGCTCACGCCCCTCGTTTACACCACCTGCGCAGCACCTGTCCCGGCGGCCTCGTGAGCCCTGGCAGCTGCTGGTGTGATTACAGTTCTGGTTGGCCCGGCGGAAGGGCGGAGGGAAGGGGAGCATGAGAGAGGAGCAGGAGTTCGGCTTTGGACGTTGGCAGTTGCTAGGATGGCATCCCCATGGAGATGGGCAGCCGACTACGGGAAAGGTGCGTAGAAACTTTCCTCTATTTTCGGGACAAGGGGGGCGGGAAGCCGGTGGCGCGGTTGCCTCCAGGAGAGCTGCCCCTATCTGGTGGCAAAACCTTAAGGCTGAGAAGACAGATCAGCCGAGGTCCAGGCCTAGGGAGCTGGAGGGGGCTCTGGAATCGCCGGGCAAAGAGCCCCGCCCTGGGTCCCCAAGAGGATGCTTGCAGCCAGGCCCCTGGAGCGCAGCGCCGTCCCCACTTCCCAGCTCCCTTGTGAGCCTGGGACGGTCTCCACTCCAAGCACAACTGGAGGGGTATATTTTAGGATCATTCTCATCCTAGGGAGAAGTGCTTAACATTTAAGGCACATACACATCACTGGGGGTTTTATTAAGATGCGGGTTTTGGTCCAGTGGGTTTGGGACATGGCAAGAACTCGATAACTATTGTCTATGAGGATTAGTCCTATGAGACGTGGAGACTCAAAGACATTGCTCAAGGCCATATAACTAAGTAGCATCGCATTTGTGCAGTTTGACCACGAATTCCATTGTGTGGATTGATTCTAAGTGACTTCCATAGTTAGGCTGAATGCAGCACTATGTTATGGTTTTCCTGGGCTCTGAGCACTTTTGCCTGCCTGAGAGTCTTCCTCCATAAGGCAAATATTACAAAGTATATTTTATGAGTCCCTTGGCATAAAGACAAATGTAACCTAAGCTGGGTTATAGTCATTCTTTTTCTCAAATTTTAAAAGAAATGAAAACATTCTCATGGACTCCTAAGATACCATGGGCTGTAGGCACTATGTGTGCTGGACCTAATAGAGAAGTAGGCTCTGCTGGATGCTGGTGCGACTGTCAGGGGCCAGTGACAAAGATGGTGGATTTCTCTGAGGGAGTTTGGGGAGAACCTGTAGTTGAAAAACACAACTAAAGACGGAATTCTTCTTTGATGAATTTTGAAGACAAAATCCTCTTTTGATTGGAAGAGATTCTCTTCCTCATATCCTTTTTAAAATTGCCATAGTTACCATAAAAGATTCAGCCATTAGCATGAAATGACGTTTGAGTTCAAATGATTGTGAAGCCTTTTTGATTCCGGAAAACAATCCGGAAGAAGAGACTGCAATTCATGGAAATGGTGTTTTGTGTCATTTTACCTGATTTGGAATGGGGTGGGAAGAAGGAATTGATGAAATGCTATAAAATGTTAGAGTTTAAATAGGCCTTGATGTAAATAATGAATCATGCTTTGGGGCTTTCAAAATACACAATTTTAGTCTCAAGTTAAATAGGAGTCTGCTGGAGCCAATCTAAATATGTAGAGACTGGTAGCATCGAGCATCACATAGAATACCTGTTTCCCTGGAAGTCTGAAATTACTGATTTGCTTGAGTCTGCACCATTCTTGAAGGCCTCTGACAAAGCACCAAAAGAAAAAAAAAATCAAGCAATCAAGCAACTTCGATGATGTTTGTTCATGGGATTTGAATAGCTTTTAGCTAGTAACTGGTGTTTGTAACCTTTTATGAAGGTCTTTCAAAGCAAACAAACACATAGGAACGAGGGAACAGAAATAATGCACTGAACAAGTTCTAAATTTTACATAGGACACAACAGATGCTTACACATCTCCATTCTGCGCGCTTAACGACGGCTATGTGCCACGCAGGACAATGGGTAAGTGGAAAGTATGGGTTAATTTCAGGATTATAGCTGCTATTAACATAAAACCAAGACAGCACAAAGACAATAACGTGCCTTCCCATTCTGTCAAGAGTGGCGGGT